ACATAAATTGGTCTTACGGGTCTCACGAAAAACCTTTGGTCTCACGTGAACCCAACCATATATATATATATATATATATATATATATATATATATTAATGGTCGGTTAATATCTTTACATATTATTTATAAACTAAGTTTATGTTTACCACATTTTTTGTTCATATAATTAGTTACCGTGCAATTTAGACGTACACTTATTTATTTATTTATAAAAATCGATAGAGATATCATCCTCTTAAAAAAACTACATTATCAATTAGACAAATAATGCATAAATTATCTATACTCCTTCGTTATTATTACTTATTTTATTTAATTTTATAACTTTATTCCTAAACAAATATATATTTTCTCCCTCTATATATATGTGTGTGTATATATATATATATATATTAAAATTTCACTAAGATTTTATTAACTTTTTCGAATTATTAAAAGTATCTATTGATGATTCTATTAACAACTAACACATATTTATATAGACAATTTTTAAATCATTAACCAAAATATTCGTACTAACGGTATATATGTCTGTAACTCCTGAATTCACTCTTTAACTAGAAGAAGCACCTAAAAGGGGAGCAACTGGGCTAGATAGGGGTGAGCATAAGCGGGTACCCGCCCTATTTGACAGGAACCGGAAACCGGTTAGAGCGGTTCTTGAGTTTTTTGAACCGGAACCGCCGGAAACCGGTTCTGGTTCCGGATACCCGCTTCCTAAAATATTAAAATTTTGTTATTTAGAAATACAAAATAAAATATTGCCAAAACACTAAATAAATAAACAAGAATACAAATTATATAGAATAATGGTTATAAATATTATTTAACGATTACAAACCATAATAGACTATAGTAAATGTTGAAAGTTTAACGATTACATACTATAATTGTAAATGTTCAAATTTTAACGATTACTTACTACGAATCTAATTAAAGACACAATTTGAAAAAATACGAATCATTTTATCTCAAATTTTGAATCTCGTTTCCACTTCTTGCATACCCATCGCATCCTCAACCTCGTATGGTACCTGTAAATAATTGAGTGTTAAAAAAACTACATAAACTCGTAAAAAACTGCACATATTTTTAACAAAAAACTACAAAAATTTTATATAAAAATACTACACAAACTTTGTATAAAAAACTGCACATATTTTTAACATAAAATTACACAAATTTTATATAAAAATACTGCACAAACTTTGTATAAAAAATTGCACATATTTTTAACATAAAACTATACAAATTACATATAAAACTGCACAAATTATATAAAAAACTTCACCAAATTATATATAAAAATAAAAATAGCGGATACCCGGTTCCATACTTGGTCCCGATGGATAACGGTTCCAAAAAATTGAAAACTGAAACCGCAACCATTCTCAATCGGTTCCGTATTTTATTAACCGGAACCGAAACCACTCATATCTGTTCTGATTTCAGAACCGACAGTTCGGTTTCCGCTGCTCACCCCTACTATATAATTGTTAATCAGCCAAATCGGTACATCTTTGTTTCACAACCATTTGACACATGATTTGGAATTATCGGTTTATCAAAATTTACGATACTAGCCCTCTACACCCTGTCAGTAAAATTTTGAGACTTTAGAATAAAAGGGCATAAATGTAAAATGAAATGAGCAATTAAAAAACAAACAAGTTCCCTTATCTTGTTTTCCGACCATAGAACCGCCACCACCATCAATCCACTCATGTTGTTCCAATGGCAACTTTCCATCCCCACACCCTTCTCCAAATTATCAAACAATGGCAGCCACAGCCTCCTCTTACCGTTCTCCCTTCCTACCTTCTTCACTCAATCTCCACCACCACCACCACCACCACCACCACCAACCTCTGCAGCTAGTAACGAGGGCAATTTCGACTACGAACAAGGGATCGACACGAACAAAATACCGAAAACGAGCCATTAAATGTGGTCGAGAGTTTTCAGATTTTGTGGGAGGGGATCTCGTAAAGCTTGATCTCGGAAAATGGCTATCGGATGTCGAAGAACACAAAGCCATTGCGATCTATTCTCCTCATGAAGGAGGTTACGAGGGCCGTTATCTTAACCGGCTTAGGTACCAAGGCTACCGGTTCTTGGATCTATCGGCTCGTGGTCTAGGCGACCCAGAGACCACATTAACCAAGATTCATCCAGTTTGTCCCGTAAGTTTCTAGTTACGTTATCAAAATCTCACTTAAAATTCTTTCGAGTTAATTTGTCGATATAAACGTAAAACTCTATAAATTGCAGGCGCATATCGGAAAACAGCCAATAGCACGATGGTATTTTCCACCGGAGGTTGATTATCGGCTATCTTTGCTTCCTCCAGATGCCAAAGGTCTGGTGGTCTGGGTCTTAGAAGCCAAGGTATGAACACAAACTTGATTATACCAATTGTTATAATCATTTCTCTTCAAGATTGAACATGAGAATGTTTCTTGTTGCAGGTTCTCTCCAAGGCAGAACTGCAGTTTCTCGCGCTCCTCCCCACACTCCGGCCCAAAGTTAGGGTGATCGCGGAATGTGGCAACTGGTATGCAATCTTTTGGTCATTTTATCCTTCTACTGTAGGATTTGGAACTAAGGGCACCCTCTCTTATCGGGTAACTAAACAATTATTGTCTCTTGTCGAGTAAGAGAAGCTAACCTGACAAGAGATGATCGTCTTCACCGACAATTTTATCGTCTCATTTTGCTAACCGAAGATGGTGACTTTTACCTGATTAGCATTCAATGGGTAGCCGGTGAGAATCTTACTCAATAAAGTAAGTCAGGTAGCCGGTGACTTGTATCGGGTAAACGTTTACCGATTTGTGTTTGTGTTGGTAATTAAACGACCCCTAAGTTACTGATTCAGGTTGTCTTTCAAATTTTTGTTTGTTAATTTTCTAAAAAAATTGCGGCAACAATTACAGGAGAAAATTCGTTTGGACGCCACTCAAAGACATTGCAGGATTAGCAGCAAATGAAGCTACATGATCCAACTTTTTGCTCACAATCAAGACGAACACCAAATGTATATTTGCCAAAAGTTTTATGAACACCAAGGTCGTTTATATTGACAATGATTCGTTTTTTATGCATGTAAATCTAGCATTATATCTAATGCCTATAATCATACAAAAAGGGAGATACGAGTATGCTATAACCCCTTTATATACGGCAAATGTAACAAATAAGCTCATACACTCTCCTCATCTTTTGTGGGGTTTGAACCTCTGACCTTCTAAAAGTCCAAGGGCTATGATACCGCTAGGTCAAAAGCATTCTGATAGCTTTTTATGAACTTGTTGCAACGTTTCTATGTAGAACACATAGTTGTTTGTTTAAGTAAATTTAAGTCCTATAAAGTCGTTTATAAGAGCGTTTAGGCATTTTTAGTGCGTGTCTTATAAACTCAATTTTGTTATAGTTTAAATTTCTATCTCTCCTCTTGAACTAAATGGGGCTTTTGAGTTTTGACTATTATTAATTACATTAATGGTATGATTCACTCTTCACAAACTCAACACTTGGGACTTGGTCTCCTTGAAATCAGCCACGAACTCGTCAAATGCAAATGGGTATTCCACATCAAGCACAAACCTAATGAGAGCATTCAACGTTATTGAACTCGTTTAGTTTCCAAACGTTTCCAACAAGCATACAAATTACCACACATTGATGAATCAAAAAGCCTAAGAATGAATATGACAATTCCTCAATTACTTATTATTATTATTATTATTATTATTGTTTCTCAGATAATATATAGCAAGATTTATCATGTAATATTTATTAAAATCTCTCGATTAACAAACATAAACACTCAACTCATTAAGCATGAGCATAAGCATTGCAAAGAACATTACTAGGGTTCACTTGGTATATCTAATTAGATCTCACTTTAGGTTCAAGTATCTTTTATCTAAATTGCGCAACCAATTCTTCAAGAGCAAAATACACCCATAATGTTTAGCAAGATGAGCAATCTAGCAAGCATGAAGAACAAGATACACAAACTCAACCAACAAAATTTCAAATTGATAAAAAGATAATTGTGTAACACCCATAAATTTTCGAGAGAATGACTAGGAAAACAATTGGGAGAATGGCCGGGAAACTCAGGGGAATGGTCGAGAATTCTCAGAACACAGACGAGGAATAGTCAGAAAATGGTAGAGGAGCAGTAAAAAATCCAGATGACTTTTTGTGCGACTTTTGCCCCATGAAAGCCGCATTAAGTTCTGTTAGCTTCAAAAATGCCGATTTTAGGGTTTTCTTTCTCATTTCACCCCAACACTTCTTCTTCACCATCATCTATCTATGTTTAACATTTTGTAGCTTTAGGTCAGATTTTAGGGGGTTTGGAAGACATTGTTGGTGATTTTGATGCTCCAAGTGGTTGACGGTAAGTTTCTAGATTACCATTTCTTGACCTGGGGTTTGGTCACTTTAAACCTTAACCTCTCCTCTTCTTGGTGGCATTTTATTAAAGATTGAGAGTAGATGAAGTGTTCTTGAGAGCTTTGCATCTTATAGATATGAAATTTAGCCTGAGAATCTCAGGTCTTTTACTAATGGAAGCTAAAGTCTAGATTTGGAATCTAGGTATAACCTAACATAGTAAGATGTGTTCAAGTTTCTTTGTAAAAACTTAATACATGCCAAAAGCGTCGATTTTGGAGTCTTAAAGTAGTTACCTTGATATTCATCAAATGTTGTTGGGTATTTGATGAGATTGCATCTTTAGTACATTTGATTTTATAAATTTTGAGAAATGCTTATATTTGTGGACTTTGGATATTTGGATAAATAAATCATTAAAATGTGGTATTTTGATGATTTGATATATATATATATATATATATATAATTAGTGTATTTGTTTTATAAACCATTCGGGAATTACATATTGTTGAGTTATGAGATATTATGGAAGTATAGATTGTATGGTTTTCGTTTGAAGATGATTTATCCCGACCAAACCACATTTTGGAGCATGAATTTGCATAAATGTCGGGTAAATGCGTATTTTGACTTATGTTGATTTTTATTATGGAGTCAAATAAGTTGTGGAGTTTATTGGTTTGATTTTTACTAGCATGAGTTTTGGAGACAATTGCATATTTATTTGGGATTTCAATGTTTGAGTGTATTGGTCATTCGTTTGGAGTCATGTAATTTAGACTGTAATACATCATATCAATAGGCATATGAGTTAGTCATGTTTGCTAAGTGAGGAGCAGCGATGTTCTCACTTTGTGACCAATGCTCGAGTAGGCATTATGGTCATCTGGGTATTTCCGATTTGAACTCTTATCAGTCGGACTACGAGTCCGTCGGTATTATAAAGTGATGCTTTAACCTTTGTGCATGAGAGTTAACTGCTTTGTGTTATCAAGTAGGAAGTTTGGGGTTCCTATATTGAATTCTAGTAGGTATACATTAAAGGTTGAATAGAAACCTTGAGGTGACATTTAACTAGAGATGAATGGGAACTAAGATTTGGTATCTTTGAGGTGACACTCGGTAGGGTGTGTGGATTAAACGTACTGTGACCTTGAGGTGACTCCGGGTAGGGGTTGTGAACTAAAGGTATTGAGGCCTCAAGGTGACACTTGATATAGTGTGCACTAAATTCAATGGATCTGAGGTGCAATTATCGATACATGGCATACATAAAGCAAACTATATGATCTCAATTCAAAAGACTATATGTACAACAATCACATAAAAAACGTCTATGACACTTATATGACATCTAATAAAACGTTCTCATATATAACGAGTTTCCGGTTCACAAGCTCCTATTTTGTACCCAAATGGGGATTTTGTATCTCCATATGAATCCCTGCATATACTAGTCGTACCATATTAGTTCAACCTAAACCCGAATTAATACTTGACTATCGACATTCTACAATACATTATTCTAAGGTTATTATTACATTTAGATATAACACAAAATAATAAGTAAACATAGTAATTCGGAAATACCTTTCATTTAATAAATATCATGACACAATGTCCAAACGGAATCATCCAATGATTGACTTTTGCGCATATACACTAACAATCTCCCACTTGCACTAAAGGCAATCTATCATTATCGAATACCCATAGATCTATAGTGGCCATCACACTTCTGTTATGTTAAGGACTTTGTCAGTAGATCAACAATGTTTGCTTTCTAGGTACTCTACATATAATAACATCGTCCTTCTCAATAATCTCTCAAATGAGATGATACATGTCTAATAATATGTTTGGACCATTCATGAGATCTTGGTTCCTTTGCCTGTGCTATAGCTCCATTGTTGTCGCACAACAACTCTATTGGACTTTCACTACTCGGAACTACACCAAGTTGAGAAACAAATTTATTTATCCAGATTGCTTCCTTAGCTTCATTTGATGTTGTGATGTACTCAACTTACGTTGTAGAATCAACAATTGTCTCTTTCTTGGAACTTTTCCAGCTTACAACACCACCATTTAGGCAAAACACAAAATCAGACTGTGGTTTAAAATCATCTATACCGGTTTGGAACCTTGTATAGTGTAACCATTTACACTTAACTCTTCCTCACCGTTGTATACTAAGAATGAATCATTTGTCCTTCATATGCACTTTAGGATATTCTTCACTGCAACACAGTGATATCACCTGAATTTAATTGGTATTTGTTTATCATGCTTAAAGCATACGAGACATCAGGCCGAGTACATATCATGGCATACATGATAGATCCTATTACCAAGGCATGTGGGATCTTACTCATCCATACACTTTCTTGCATCATTATGGGACATTGCTTTTTAGAAAGTGATATGCCATGAGACAATTGGCAAGAACCCTTTTCTTGCTTTCTGACATACTAAACCATTTGAGCACTTTATCTGTATATATACTCTGGCTTAAGCCAATATATTTTCATGATCTATCTATATAGATCTGACGGCCTAACAACTTAGGTTGTTTCACCCAAGTCTTTCACAGAAAATCAATTATCTAGACAAGCCTTTATAGACTCAAGCATTGGGATATCATTCCCAATCAGTAGTACATCATCTACATACAATAGTAGGAATGATACAATGCTCCCACTAAGCTTCTTGTACACACAAGGTTCATCCTCATTTCCTAAGAAACCAAAATCTTTTATGGCTTTATCAAAACAATGATTCCAACTCCTGGAGGCTTGCTTTAATCCATAGATAGATCATTGAAACTTGTATACTTTATGAGAATCTTTAGGAATGACAAAACCTTGGGTTTGTATCATAAACACGACCTCATTTAGATTTCCGTTAAGGAATGCCATTTTGACATCCATTTGTCAGATTTCATAATCATGATATGCAACAATGGCTAGTAGAGTTGTAATGGACTTAATCATTACAACTGGTGAAAGAGTTTCATCATAATCAACTCCTTGAATTTGCTTGAAACCTTTAGCAACCAATGTGGGCTTTATAGGTAATTACATTATCATCCATGTTGATCTTCTTCTTGAAGACCTGTTTGCACTCTAAGTCATACCTCATTGGGTGGTTCAACAAAGTTCCAAACTTTGTTTTCATACATGGAGTCGATCTCAATGCTCATAACATCTATCCATTTTTGTAAGTTGGTTCTCGCCATTACATCTTGGTAGCTAGTCGACTTATCATCTATAAGCATCACATTAGCTATTTGAGTGACGAGAAATCCATCTCTTGGGATCATTTCGTGATCAACCAGATATTCGAATATTTTATGCTACATCATCATACCGTTTTTCCACACCCCTTCTGTATCTACAACTCCTTGTGGTGTATGTGCTTGTTCCACTTCTATTGGCATGTTTCACTCTTGAAATACTTCAAGGTGTATATTCCTCCCATTGGCTCCTTTAGGAATGAACTCTTTCTCCAAATGAACGCTAGTCCGACCAAGCACTTTGTTGTTATTAGGGTGACTGAAATAGTATCCCATAGTTTCTTTGGAATATCCTATAAATATGCATTTTTTAGATTTCGAATCTAATTTAGTTGTAATTAGACGTCGTACGTAAACATCACAACCCAAATTTTTTATAAAAGACAATCTGGGACTCTTCCAAATCCATATCTCATACGGTGTATTTTTAATAAACTTCGATGGAACTCAGTTTAATGTGAAAGTTGTTGTCTTTAG